ACATCCGATAGGGACGCTTGTGCACGCGCTTTATTGTTTTTTTTTAGGCCAATAAAGTGGCACATCGATCTCCTGTGCCATGCTGCGCAATGGGCTTGTCAAATGCGCCTGTCAGTTCCTAAACTTAAATAAGATCCATACACCCCCCCCACCCGCCACTTCTAAATGTGAGCAAAACACACGACACCATAGTAATGGGAGTCTTCAGTGGCATTGGATTAGAGGAACGAGAGAGCAGAACGTTCACTACCCTGAGGTAAACATGCATCGTTCGGCCAACGTTTAGCTACGTTGTTGGACAAACGTTGTGTGTTTTGGATATAATTCACAGCCAGGAGACACATGAAGATAATGCCTTCTTCAAATAGGAGTCTTAGCGGATTTGGAGGAGCCCACATTTTTGGAATTTTGCTGAATTTTTAGTTTATTCCCATCGATAAACAAACTCAAGAATGTCAGCCATGACTGTCCTTCAGTAAATTTAACACAGGAAGCGGCCACGGGTTGGTAAGATGGTAATTATGTTTCACCCGTTGCCAAAGATAGGACATAACTAAGTTTAGGGGAACAAAACAAGATAACGAAGATTAAACACAAGATCAGGAGGGAGAAGCATTTACACCGATTCTAAGCAACAGATCCACAATCCTAGAGAGGTAAACTGTTGAACAGGATACCATCACTTTTAATAATTAAATAGCCAGCACTGTTCGGACCGTTCACTGCAAGTTAGGGGGAAAGTAAAAAGGTGAGCACAAATAAATCTTATATATTGCCACGAACGGAGAAAACAAAAGAGCGAGGGGTCAAAAAAGATGAAAGTTCCAAACTACAGAAAGAACACACGGAACTGTAAAATCATCAGGAAAATAAGAGCTGAACTCAACAACAGAGTGGTTGAAGGTGTCATGAGAATCAATTGGAACATGAACGCTGCAGAAAAATTGTAAAATCACAAGTGGTAGCTCTAAGAGAGCCAGAGGAAACCTTAACACAGTATAGACAGCTGTATTTAAGAAAGACTTTTCCACTAGACCCCAATCTGCAACATCAACCAAATTTTCGAAGAGACACAAAATTACACTTTTGCCGGGCTGATATTGGTTATGAAAGGCATTTCATTCAGTGGAGACTGCGGCAGTCATCCAGATTTCGCATGCAAAGGTTTTAATAAAAAAAATATGTAGACATTAAAAACATGTACAAATGACTGCTGCAAAATGGAGATTAAATTAAATTAATAAACTACAAATGAGAAGAGCAGTCGGGCAATTATACACACTCTCGCCAATGTTTGCAGATATAAAGACCTAAACGTGAATGGAGGAAGGTTTAAGCTGTCTAATATTTGCAGATAATGGTCATTTTCCAGGAGTGAACACATTACATTAAGCAATAGAAAAACTTAGCGAAGAAGTTTGAGCAACTGGACCCGAGATAAAATGAGCGAAATAAAAGCAATGCGCGACAAGTTTGTGCCAAAAAATAAATTATTAAAGGACCCAATTTGAAAACACAGTGGAATATGTATTTACCTAGGGCAACTATTGAGGTGAAGTGGAATAAAAACTATGAAATAAAGAGAACAAATCAATGATGGAATGCCCTTTCGTAAATTGAACATGATTATGAAAAGGAGCGTACCAATGTGTGTGAAGAAAATTTTCAATCAGTGCACACTGCCAGATGTAACTATGGATCAGAAACACATACACTGGCAAAGCAAATGGGGAAAAAGCTGAAAAGTGTGCAAACAAGCGTGCAGAGATGCAAGCTTGGAATTTTTGCCGAGATAGAAAAGGGAACATATGGATGAAGAAACAAACACAATTCAGAGACATTTTTACCATGAAGAAACGTAAATAAGTTGGAGCAGGACACAACACAATATGGATGATGATCGACGGACAACATTTGGTGACAATGGCGGCCAAAATTATAGAAAACATCTAAGAGTACACCAATGCGGCGATGGAGTGATGGTATCAGTTCATGTGCAGGAGTGAGATGGATGGTAGCATGCGCAAGGAGCATGAAGGATGGCAATGGTGTGGGGAGGCCTTCAACCAGGAGTGGAAAGACCACAGTTGCTGATGATGAGATGACTTTGAAGTGCAACACTTTGGTGCATGACCTTTGTCCACATTTAATTGCATCCAAAGGTGGCAATCTTCGATTTAGATTTGCCACATTTATACTTTCTGTTTGCATACTTTTTTTTTGATTCTACAAATATATGTGCCTGGGTTGTAAAATGTTTTACTTTTATCTATTAACAAGAAGCATATATTTTTTATAAGAATTCACAATTTCCCAGTAAACGTGCGGAATGTTGGGCCAACAAGATTTGAATGTGCTTGGAACCGTTTTTCAAAGTTTATATTTTTCTGAGATTTTTTTTAAAAAATCTCAAACAAATACAGATGAAGGCCTTTCCCAAGCCACCGCTATCCCTCAGAATTCTGCGATGTACAATTCCACCTGGCTCCTGCGCGCAAACCGATTGCATCGCTCCATCTCTGTGGTGGACGTACCCTCGGACGCATTTCATTCTTCGGCTACTACTCCATCATTATCCTTGATCATCGGCCACCGTCCCGTCCCTGGACGTATATCGTTGAATCTTAAAGATGCATTTACAATCCCAGACAGCCAGAAATCTCCCACGTGACTCGGTGTTGCATATACTGTGCAAACACCAGATTGTAAGAACACAATTCACACTCCAGTTACCTTCATACCGTATTATTCCCCGGTGACGACATAAACCCCACCATCATCGTCATACATGTATTAGTTGCTAAGCACGAACAAAAAGTGCGGTTATATCGAAGCGAATTTGTAAATACAACTGCAGAAAGTGACATGGTTGAAACAATTAAGGTATTCGAATTCAATCACCATAGACACCACACACACAATGTATACCACGTATTCACCATAAACACGACACACAAACACCACGTAAACACCACACACATCCAATGGCTACCACATGCACCTTCGATTAGCACGGTTGGCCTACGTACGGTGCGATAGAAGTTCAACACATCTACCAGACACCACACACAAACACCTCACATACACAATGGACATAAGACATATCTCCCGCATAGCCTTAACATACTGGCTCCTGCGCGCAAACCGATACTGTTGAGGCAAGTGCTGTGGGCGAGCATCTACGAAACACCACAGCCACCTCAAACCCCAAAGACATGCACACACATCACATACACCACATACGCACCATAGGCACCACAAACACACCAATAGGGACCACAAACACAACGTAAATACAACACACACACACACGTATACCAGACCCCACACGTACACCAGACACCACACACAGGCCATAGACACCATATACACACCACACAGACTGCCACCACGCACACCAGGCACCACATGTGCACCATAGATACCACACATACCACACACACCATAAATACCACACCCACGCCATAGATATCATACATGCCATCGTAACTACACACACACCATAGACAGCGCATACACACCACATGCACACCATATAAACTACACGAAGACACCACACAACACATAAATGACACATACCACACACCATAGACACTACACAAATCGCATGTCTCGTCTCTAGATAGTGCCGCGTCTGTTTAGCCCCCTCTGTCCGGACAAACAGAAGCTGTTGGGCATGCGGGCTACAGCCAACGCAGCTCGCCTCGTCCTGGAATAGCTCATGGTACCATGAACAGATCTTTAAGTGAATCTTGCCTGGTTTTAAGCAGGCCAGCCTGAATGTTTCATTGTCGCACAGATGTTTCTGAAAAGGCGTCCTGTAGCTTTCACAAGCACAGCGAGGAGAGGACACGAATTGCGACTGAGAAGTCCCAGAGCTTCTTCGTGTAGAGCACAGCAGGACACACAGCGTCCACAAAAGGATCCTGATCAGCATCATCGTCATCACCACCACCATCACTAATATTATTGTTATCGTCACCATCATCACTACCTTATACACCAACAAACACATCATGATTGACGCTGGCAGTATCACTATCATTGTGAGCCATCCACATCAACACCTGAACACTGTCTTTTTCACCATCATCATCACCTCTATCACCATTACCATATGAACAATACTGATCATCACCACCACCACCATAAACATCCACTATTGTCATTACCATGGACATTAACATAATGATCACCTTCACGGAAATCGCCATCAATTTCACCAGCATCACTGTTAACATCACCGTGGGGTCCCTAGCTACTCGCGGTATGGATTTTATTGCGATTTTCACAGGGATTTTATCAGCAGCAGCAGCACACCATGACGGTCGTGCTGCTGCTGCCGATGGTGGTGGTGGTGACGGCATGTTGTAATTAAGGTCGTGCTCATTAGTCAATGTATTGAAGATGTTGATGTGGCTACAGGTGATGATGATAAGTATGTGATGTTGATGGCGACCCTTTAATATTGCAATAACGATGAGTACTGATCAATATTCTATTGTATTCTGATCGCGACGATGACCAAGACAATTCTGCTGATAACGATGATGCTGTTGATGATTGATGAAAATTTGGACCTGGAGTTGTTGGCAATGCTGCAAATTATGTTAAAGTAATGACACGATGATGATGATGGTGACGATAAATATACTACTGATGCCGATGGGATTGGCGATGACAACGATGATGTGGACTTGTTGATAACTAAGTGACAATGATGTAATGCTACTATAACTGATAATGGTAACGATGCTATTGACAATGCTACTGCTGACGATGCTCTTATTGCACCTGATCATGCTAGTGTCGATGCTGCTATTGTCGACGACGGCGATGCTGCTTGTACTCCCAATGATGATGCCGATGTTGCTGCTTCTATCGATGATGGTTACACTGCTGGCAACTGCAGCTACTGGTACTGCTGATGACGATGCCGCTGCTAATGCCCTGAACTGCAGCTACTATGGTGATTCTGCTGATGTGATGCAATTGCTTACCGATCTGCACGCTGCCCGGAGAAGCTCCAGCGGCAAAACAGAGGCCAGCAAAACACGACAGGAATCTGAAGATCCAGGCCATCGTCTCCAACCTCTCTCGATTTCTCTCCGCTCTCCCCGCTCTAACGTGTCCGTCTCGTCCTCACGCCAGCGCGTCAATGCTGCCGATATTACAACAACAGTCCGTTCGACATCGAGACCGCATCTCTCTCCGCCCCCTCCATGCACAGCCGTCTCTTCCTGTAAGCTCCTCTCTCTGTGTGTGCGCGCCTGCACCTCCCTCTCCGCTTCCTCTAAACCCGCCTCCCTCTCCTTGGGTTTTGCTCTCGTACTTATCTTCTCCTTTCTCTCACCCCCCCCCCCACCTATACTCTGTGTATCTCCGACTCTGTTACCAGTTGTGTGTATTTCTACCTTTCTGTGCCCCTATGTACCCCGGTGTATTTCTCTAACCTCTATTCTGTGTTTCTCGATGTCTCTGTGCCTCTCTCCATCTCTCTCGCTATGTACAATCTCGATAGCTCGCTCTCCTCCCCTTGTCTCTCTCTCGCCCTCCCAATAGCTGCAGGCTTATGTCAACGGGACGTATATCTTCACATTAAATACGGTTTCCCTCCATCTCATCCCCCTCTGTCTCTCTCCATCGCTCGTTTATCTCTTCTACCCGTTGCTCTCCCACTCGTTATCTCCCTCGCACCACTCTATCAATGGCAGTGAATGATTGATCTCCCAACAATAGCTATTGTTCTCGCTGATGGTCCGCGCCTCGCTCCACACTGCCCCCACGGGGCCCTGCGCTCCCGTACATGCTCTGCCTCTCAGCGCCTTTCTCTCTGTTTCTCTAAGACTGTGCGTCTCCGTGCCTCCACGTGAATCAAGGCAACATGTTCTTCTCTCCGTTCCAACCTCGCGTGAAGCTGCGTGAGCTTCCGCTCCCATTGTCTCTTCCCATTGTTTCTCCTGTCTCCCCACCCCTCTGCCGCTCCCCTTTCCCACCGTTCTCTTCCCTCGCCCCCTCTCCTTAATGCCGCTTTCTCGGTCCGTCTTTCTTTTCGTGTCTCTCTCCGTCTACGCCCTCTCTCCCGTGTCTCTAGCCCCCCTCTGTCTCTCCGATCTCTTTTAATTTCCGCTAATTAGTGAAACGTGAGCGCTGTGTTGGTGAGCTTCATTTGTGGATAATTTCAGTGGCGGGTTTTATAGAATCAGCGAGACAGACGGCTTGTGCAGTTCCCACTTTATTTTTGTATCAACATCTCCCCCACTTGTAAATATGAACTCACATCAACGAGAATACTGGCAGTATGGGAATCCCTTGAATATCGCAGATTTATAGTTCGCCATTTCGACCTATGGGGCCGTACATAAATGACGTCACGCATCTAGGGGAGGGGGGAGGTCAGATATTTGTGACGATGTGTGACGAGGGGGGGGGGGGTGATAAATGTGACGTCACATCAAAATGCGCAACTTTAAATAAATATAGAATTTAATTTTCGATTTAAAGCTTTCGTGACTGCAAGGATTCATCTTCTTTGGTTCTTTCGGTAAAGTTTTCTGGCTGATATACTGCGACCTTTCACTGGAAAAAAACACCTCTACGGTACTAAATTCTACTCACCTGGTATCGACAATCAAAGGCATTCCCTGTCCCCAGACGACCTGCTTGTCAGTTTTGATGTGGTGTCCTTATTCACCTAAGTTCCGGTACCTGACACCATCGCAATCATTGAAGACTTGGTTCATCAAGGACTGCACACTGATGTACCCCCCCCCCCCCCCTGGTGAGACATTGCTTAACCAACACATGCTTCACCTGGAATGGAAATTTCTACAAACAGACTGAGGGCACCCCAATGGGCTCCCCCCTGTCTCCAGTTGTAGCCAACGTATTCATGGAAAAATTTGAAACTGACGCCATCCAGACTGCCACTCTACGCCCGACCTTATGGAAAAGGTACGTGGAAGACACTTTTGTCATCTGGTCACATGGCCAGCCTGCTCTAGACCAATTTCTCGACCACATCAATTCCATGCACCCATCCATCAGATTTACCATGGAGGTCGAAAAAGATGGCAAGCTACCCTTTTTGGATGTCTTAATTAAAAGGAGACCTGATGGTTCAATGAGCCGTTCTGTCTACAGAAAAGCTACCCATACAGATGCTTACTTGAAACCGGATTCCCACCACCATCCATCCCAGAATAACGCTCTCATCAAGACTCTATACCATAGAGCCCAATGCATTTCCGACCAGGAACACATTGCCAGTGAACTCAAGCACGTACACCAGGCTCTCAGGGCTAATGGTTACTCCGACTACACAATCCGCGAAGCCATCACTCCAGTCATGAAGAAGGATCCTCTTGAGGAGCCACTCAAAACCATCACCTTACTCTATATTGCAGGGGTCACTAAAAAGATCTCCAAAATCCTGAATAAACACAAGATCCAGGTCCGATTCAACACAGTACATAAAATCCGTGATCTGGTTCCATCTGTAAAAGATGCTGTTCCAGACATACAGTACCCAGGCGTTTACAAATTAAAGTGCCTCTGTGGTATCAACTACATTGGGGAAACCAAACGACATATCTCGGACCGCATCCGCGAACATAAAGCAGACTGGAAACACGGTAGGATGAATTCTTCTGCCGTGGCAGATCACTGTTATAATTCAGTGGGTTCACATGACATTGACTTAACCAAGACGGAGGTTCTTTGCAAGCCAACTGGCTACCATGAGATTCGTTCATGAGGCCATCCACATATACAAGCACAGAGACAATTTCAACCGAGAAGATGGATTCTGACTTAGTAACCATTGGAAAAATGTTTTAAACCATTTCGGTTCTTAATTAATTGTATTTTACGGTGACCGTCAGACCGCAGCTCTTTCGCCGGCATTGCCTCTTAATACCTCTCACACCACGGTTAATGGTATGGTTTATAACATGGAGTATAACAGCGCATTGTAGTTGTTTCCTTCTCCCCCCTCCTCCGTTCCGAGCATGGATTGACTCGTCCGCCTGAACGTCGCTGTCCGTGGTGCTGGCGGTGAAGGGAAAAAAACACCATTTTACGCCATATGGCATTGATATATAACGACTTATTGTTGGTAGCTCAGCTGATTGGAGAGTATATAGAGTTTATTGATAACATTGAGGGAGCTTATATCTTGTTTTTTTTATTGGTTTACTATATGGTATTCATTATATAGTGTAGTGTATACCCAGTTGCTTTGTGATTAATAGCTCAGCTTATTGAAGAATATATTAAGTACATTTATTATATTGATGTAATACAGATTTAGTTTTTTTTCACATCGGTTTACTTTATGATAGTTGGTAGTTAGAGGCCTTTAGCGTCCATATACTAAATGACTCTGTTGATATATAAACTTTGACTTTAACACAGCTATTTCTGTCACAAGCTAATCTCTCAGCTATTTCAATGCTAAATTCTCCTGCTTTGATATGTAAACTCATTTGTCAAGGCTCTCCACGCCTCTCACCGAGCTTAAAATACGCTACGAATCTTAACAGCGTTAATTCAAGCTCTGTCGTCCCGACAGTTCTGTTCTTTCACCTGAAGAAGGCTACTTGTGAATGTGGCCGAAACGTCGTGAGAATTTTATTGTCTTATTTTATTTTATTATTGTATTCTCATTCTACGTGACTTTACCGAAAGAACCAAAGAAGAAAAATATAGAATTGTTATAACAACACTAATTGTTATAACACTCCTACAACATCAGAGTGCAGCGCCACATTAAATATGCACTACAATGACAATAGTTTAAAGCGATTTGAAGCATGTGTTTTTTTTGGGGGGGGGGGCAGAGCTTTGTGACGTCATATTTGTGGGGGGGCGGGCTGACTTTTTGTGACGCCGTGTGACGAGGGGGGGGGAGTAAAAAATCGCGTGACGTCATTTATGGACAGCCCCTATCGTGGACCTCTCTGTTTACCAATTTAGCTATGGGGGGTGGGGGGGGGCTAGTTTTGGCCTTTCGCGAGTATACTATACATGGAGGTGCTGTATCAAGGTGGTGGTGGTGTTTGGCTGATACTGAGGTGCGGGCGAGGGACGCGAGGCAGTCAGTCGCACCTCAACCTCTGCCGTTCAAGCATCTCGCGGACAATCAAAGACCTCCCCCCCCCCCTCCCCTATAGCTGATGAACACACTGTAGGGGCAAGTGCTAATAGCTAATGAACAGACTGTAGGGGCGAGTGCTAATAGCTGATGAACAGACTGTAGGGGCAAGTGCTAATAGCTGATGAACAGAATGTAGGGGCAAGTGCTAATAGCTGATGAACAGACTGTAGGGGCAAGTGCTAATAGCTGATGAACAGACTGTAGGGGCAAGTGCTAATAGCTGATGAACATACTGTAGGGGCAAGTGCTAATAGCTGATGAACAGACTGTAGGGGCAAGTGCTAATAGCGGATGAACACACTGTAGGGGCGAGTGCTAATAGCTGATGAACACACTGTAGGGGCAAGTGCTAATAGCTGATGAACAGACTGTAGGGGCGAGTGCTAATAGCTGATGAACACACTGTAGGGGCAAGTGCTAATAGCTGATGAACAGACTGTAGGGGCGAGTGCTAATAGCTGATGAACACACTGTAGGGGCAAGTGCTAATGGCTGATGAACAGACTGTAGGGGCGAGTGCTAATAGCTGATGAACAGACTGTAGGGGCAAGTGCTAATAGCTGATGAACAGACTGTAGGGGCAAGTGCTAACAGCTGATGAACAGACTGTAGGAGCAAGTGCTAATAGCTGATTAACAGACTGTAGGGGCGAGTGCTAACAGCTGATGAACAGACTGTAGGGGCAAGTGCTAATAGCTGATGAACAGACTGTAGGGGCAAGTGCTAATAGCTGATGAACACACTGTAGGAGCAAGTGCTAATAGCTGATGAACAGGCTGTAGGGGCAAGTGCTAATAGCTGATGAACACACTGTAGGGGCGAGTGCTAATAGCTGATGAACAGACTAGGGGCAAGTGCTAACAGCTGATGAACAGACTGTAGGGGCAAGTGCTAATAGCTGATGAACACACTGTAGGGGCAAGTGCTAATAGCTGATGAACAGACTGTAGGGGCAAGTGCTAATAGCTGATGAACACACTGTAGGGGCGAGTGCTAACAGCTGATGAACAGACTGTAGGGGCAAGTGCTAATAGCTGATGAACAGACTGTAGGGGCAAGTGCTAATAGCTGATGAACAGACTGTAGGGGCAAGTGCTAATAGCTGATGAACACACTGTAGGAGCAAGTGCTAATAGCTGATGAACAGACTGTAGGGGCAAGTGCTAATAGCTGATGAACACACTGTAGGGGCAAGTGCTAATAGCTGATGAACACACTGTAGGGGCAAGTGCTAATAGCGAGCGCCTGGCACACAAGGAGGCGGGGTGGCCACAGAACCACGCCCGGCACCCTTTTCTCCCCAGTGGCGACACACAGCGCACCAGCTACCCATTTAAGGCTGAGTCGACCTAGGCGAGTCCCAGGACCGATTAAGATAATCGTCACTGGTGTTGGTCGTGAGCGGGAATTGTACCGGAAGCCAGATTTGTAGCGCAGCGCGCTAACCGCTTCACATCCGCTCCCAAATCACGGACAATGACGCTCGTCATCATAATCATCATCGGTGAGTACCTGACTCGGTATTTATACTGTTCATTGTATAGGAATGTAATGTTTTTACATGTTAATTCAATTATTTGTTATTCGTTTATTTTGCCTATAGTACAGTACTTATTTGTGATGTCTATTCTGTATACCTTACCCTTATTATTTAAGTATTGAATATCGTGGTTTTGGCTTTCACGGCACTTTCTGAGAACGTAACCCCCGCGCGATATTAAAGGGTGCCATATGTAACGTCTGTATCCACCCCGCACGCTAACAGGGGCCGTCCATAAATGACGTCACGCGATTTTGGAC